CTGCAGAGCTGAGAAGACATGCCTTACTCTGACTCTTATATGATTCCTCTAGGATAACCTGAAACTTAAAAATTTTAATTTTTTCTCCCTTCTCTGGTGGCTTGATCTCTCAGGATCCATCTAGCTGGTATTGTAAATCAGGTGAATCTTTGTGTGTTTTTGTACATGGCATGCAATGATATGGGTTAGGCTTGCAGGAAATTATGAGAGGGTGGACAAAGAAGCAACTTGAAGAATGTTATGACCTGACACCACAGGCCAAATCTCTTTGCTTCTTTCCTCTCAATCAAGGCTTACATTTTTTCTTTAATGACTTCACCCAGGAATAAGGAAGAATTTTTGATGGAAGATCAAGCTTTTATTCCTAATAAAAAGCTTTCTTTGGAGCCTGAGAAGTATCTCTGCTCCTCTTAGATATTTTTAAACCACACACCTCTCCTTCTGGCCAATACTGAAATGGGAAATGATTTATTGCCCCTTACTAAGGTATTTCTTAGCAGTTCAGTTCCATTTATCTTCTCTGTTTTATTTGTTTGACTCTAGCTTGCCAAGTACAAAGATTATTGACGTGGTTGGAAAAATCCGGTTACCTTTCTTCTGTAAACAAACTTGTGTTCCATTATATTCTCGTCAGGAGCTTATCAGTTTCATTAAGTCCCAGAAGAGGTAAGCATTGGTAGTGCACGGCACGTGTGTGCGTGTGTGCGTGTGTGTGTGGTGTGTGTGTATGTGTGTGTAGAATATAGGAAGCCACAATGCATAATGATGTTTGACTGTTGCCATAGTAAGGTGAAAATACTGGCTACATTGTAGATATGCAGTAGCTAACCCATGTTATGGCCATAGTGAAATCTTAGCCTGAAAAATGGTACCTAAGCAATATGCAAAAATCATATGGGCTGAGATATTTATCTCCCTGTAGCAGAAATGAGAGTTAATAGTAGCCACAGAACAAGCTAAATTGCCTAAAGTGTATCCGAATCAAACAAATATCACTATCTTCATTACTATTGATCTTGCTTAAACCACCATTATTTTCACCAATTGTGCTGCAGAATCTGTATGATGTAACTATTTTGAACTATGGAATCTATTGAAGTTGCAACTTCCAGAAGAAGTCTTAGACAGCAAATTGCAGTTAATCTCATTCAATTTCAGCTCTTTGCACAATGCAACTACCTACCCCAACTCTAGTCCCATGGAGGCAGCTGTGCATGTGTCCCAGAACAGCTTACAGGAGCCAGGGTGCCAAAAGGGACTTGCTTCCAAATATTGAGATCTGTGCTTGATTTGGGTTGTGGCTGTTCTGATCACAGAGGTATAAAGAGATGGGCGGCCATTGTTGTTGTACCTCTGCACTGTTGCAAGCCCTCCCCATCTGGCTGAAGTGATTACTAGGGAATTTATAGAGATGACATCTTCTTCCTCTTCATTTTTCTCTTTTATTTTGGGAGGCAGACATAAGGACTAGGGCTTCAACATCAACTGCATATATGGGGAAATAAGAAAGTGACCACCTATGCCTAGGGAAAGGTTGAGGCTCCGAAAAGACTGAGAAGACCTAAGTTTATACCTCAGACCAATCTTTGACAGAGACAGCCTACAATAATAAAAAAAAACTAAGAAAATAACAAAACATATCCAACTCTGGGGAAAGAGAAAGATATGATTTCCAGAGTTATCACATCATTAGATTCAAATGTCTAGTTCTTAACAAGAAAATCACAAAGCACACAAAGAAACGGGAAAGTAATGGCTCATTTAAAGGGAGAAAAAAATTGAAAGAAACTGTCCCTGAGAAAGATCTGATAGCAGATCTGCTAGACAAAGACTTAAAACAACTGCCTTAAAGATGATCAAAGAACTAAAGAAAGATGAAGAAAGTCTAGAAAGTGATATATGAAATAAATAGAAATATCAATAAAGAGAAAATCTAAAAAATCCCAAAAGAAATTCAGAACATGAAAAGTACAATCACTGAAATGAAAAAATTACTAGAAGGATTCAAAGGCAGATTAGAAAAGGCAGAAGAAAGAATTGGTGAACCCAAAGATAGGGCAGTGGAATATAAATCTGAGGAACAGAAAGAAAAAGATAGAAAAAAGTGAACAGAGCAAAAAGGGACTATGAAACCCATCAACCACACCGGCATGCACATTATGGAAATGCCAGAAGGAGAGAAGAGAGAGAAAGGACAAAGAGAATATCTGAAGCAATAATGCCTGAAAATTTCCCAAATTGATGAAAGACATAAAATATAAACATCAAAGAAGTTCAATGAACTCCAAGAAGAAGAACTCAAAGAGATCCACACCAAGACACATTATAGTCAAACTCTTGAACCAAAGACAAGAAAGAAGTTAAACACAGTAAGATAGAAGCAACTCACCACTTTACAAGGGATTCTTATAAGATTATAGCAGATTTCTCATCAGAACCTTGGAGTCCAGGAGTAGTATGCTGATATATCAAAGTCCTAAAAGACAAAAAAAATCAACCAAGAATCCATATTCAGCAAAACTGACTTTCTAAAGTAAGTGCAAAATTAAGATATTTCCAGATAAACAAAAGCCAAGGGAGTTGCCCTACAGCAAATGCTTCAGAGAGACCTGCAGTGTGAAATGAAAGGAACACTGGACAGTAACTTAAAGCAACATGAAGAGGCCAGGCATGGTGGCTCACGCCTGCAATCCTAGCACTCTGGGAGGCCGAGGTGGGTGGATTGCTCGAGTCAGGATTCGAAACCAGCCTGAGCAAGAGCGAGACCACTCTACTACAAATAGAAAGAAATTAATTTGCGCAACTAATATATATAGAAAATTAGCTGGGCATTGGTGCATGCCTGTAGTCCCAGCTACTCAGGAGGTCAGTGAGGATTGCTTGAGCCAGGGCTTTGAGGTTGCTGTGAGCTAGGCATGGCCATGGCACTCTAGCCTGGGGAACACAGTGAGACTCTGTCTCAAAAATAAAATAAAATATAATATAATAAATAAAGCAATATGAAGAAGTAAATAACTCAATAAAAGTAAAGAAATAGGCAAATATAAGTAGTATGATTGTATCAACAGTTCATAGCTGTACTTTTTGTTTTTACATGATTAAGAGACTAATACATTTTTTTTTTTTTTTTTTGAGACAGAGTCTCGCTTTGTTGCCGGCTAGAGTGAGTGCCGTGGCGTCAGCCAGCTCACAGCAACCTCAAACTCCTGGGCTCGAGTGATCTTCTGCCTCAGCTCCGAGTAGCTGGGGACTACAGGCATGCGCCACCATGCCGGCAAATTTTTATATATATACTCAGTTGCCAATTAATTTCTTTATTTATAGTAGAGACGGGTCTCGCTCTGCGTCAGCTGGTTTGAACTCCTGAACCTTGAGCAATCCGCCCGCCTGCGCTCCGAGAGCTAGGTTACAGCTGAGCCACAGCGCCTGCTTGCAGCCATGCCTTGTTCTCTGGGCCCGAAGCTCCAGGCTTCCCAGGGGAATGACGCCTTTGCCACCTTCCCCCAGGGGCAGAATGATAGCTATTAACACAACACAGCACCCTGGGCCTGAGCTGTCCACAGGTGACTCAGAGTCACAGATCCTGGCTCTGTGGGCAGCCTACATCCAACTCTCTTACAGAGGGCAAATCTGCACCTCAAGACGCAGGTGCCACCATAGTTTCATGAGACCCTGAACCTAAGACCTCAGCCTCACAGCTGCTCCAAGCACCTGCACCTGGAAGCCACTGCTACTATATCTGTTGTAGGCTGTGTCAGACCTGACACCAAGAGGGGTCCCTTTGGCTAAGTCTCCCCATTGTGAGGAAAATGGGAATAGGAGGATTCCCCAAAACCCATGACACCATGGACATTAACCACTTGGGCCACTACTGGCCTTGACATAAGCTTCTACAGGCCAGGTCACTGACACACATGCAGTTACTGCTGACATTGAATGCAGCTGAAGAAGCTGTATGGAGGCTATATCACTGTATATACCAGGAAACAGAATCACAACATCCTTCCCAGCTAGTACACTAAGACCCAAGTCTTTCTATATGAAAGCCACTCTAAAAAGTTTGAGAGAGGCAATTGTTCCACCAGATGCACAGATATCAATGCATCTGGTGGAACAAGAGAAATATGAAAAAGAAAGTAAACATAACACCAACAAAGGAACATAATAACTCTCTAGTAACAGACCCCAAGGAAAGGGAATCAACAAATGGTTGGAAAAAGAATTCAAAATAAAGAGAGAATTCTAAAAACACCAAGAGAAAAGATCAAGTCACATATAAGGGAATCTTCATTAGACTAACAGATTTCTCAGCAGAAACCTTACAGGCCAGAAGGAAATAGGATGAAATATTCAAAGTGCTGAAAGAAAAAAATTTCCAGCCAAAAATAATATACCCACCAAAGAAATCCTTCAGAATGAAGGAAAAATAAAGTCTTTCTCAATCAAACAAGCAAAAACGGAGAAAATTTATCACCACTAAACTGGCCTACCAGAAATATGCAAGGAAATCTTACATCTGGAAGAGGATGACAATAATCACCATCATGAAACCATGCAAAAATATAAAACACAGTGGCAAGTCAAATACATAAAGGAGAAAGAGAAAAGAATCAAACTTTATTATTAGAGAAAACCACCAAACTTGATGGCTAGACTAGCAAAGGGACACCCTGCTTTTCAATATTTAGTATTTATAACAGAAATTTTTTAAGTTCCCTGTTAGAATACCCTGAAGTTCATGATTTTGGGAGACTGCATGTAAGGAGGAAGTGAAAAAGGAATAGATATTGACAAGTCCTCACCTATTCTACTTCAGAGTTTTGGCAGGTTTGGGGGAAATTGCAAATTTTGTGCCTTAAAATATCAACTCTTTGATATGTGAAGGTTTATGTGGGTAATTATGTCTTTAACTTAGTCAGTATAAATGATCAGGTAGCATTTTTGGTCAGTCTTGACCTAATCTGCCAGATACTAACCCACTCCTGTGAGACATGGCCTACCTGGCAGATCTCCTTCTGGGCTTTGGGAATCCAGGGGTTCACAGTCCCAGAAGGCAGCACTTCCTTCAGGCCCTTAATGATTTGGGATTTGAGTGGTAAGCGTGGACCGATCTGCTCATTCAGGTAGAGCTCACAGATTCTGTTACCCAGCATGTGACGAAATATGGCATCCCCGTTCTTCCGGTTATTCATCAGAACACTGAGGAAATGGTGCAGGTCCTGCCAGAGGTCCAGAAGTCGGATCTCCACTTTCAAATCCAGCTGCTTCAGGTGGTTCCGGAAAGGATTCCCCGCATAGGCATCAGCACACAAGGCCCAGTGGGTGTACCCGATGGAGAGGTTTTGCCTCATGGCCTTCTTCATAGTTTGATGGGAGGAATAATTGATGATGGGGGTGGCAGTCCTCAGGTCGGTGGAGAACTTCGTCTCAAAGAGGCCCTCCATGTGGAGGTGACTCTTGGCTTTCTTCTTCATGCGGCACTTCCTGGCACAGTGACTGTCCTTTCCCAGGGGACTGACTGCTCTCTCCTTTGAAGACGCCACTTTTAGGGAGGGCGCTTGTATAACCTCCTTCTCTTGAGGACACATCTCCTGTGGGGCCATGATGTTGGAGTCTGGCTCAACGTCCATGTCCAGAGACCAAGAGCCAGAATCTATCAGTTGCCAAATCTTTCTCTTGGCTTTCCTGCTCGAGTACCGCTTCTGAAAGTGGAGGGATGCCTTGATGGTCATGTTCAGAGGGAGCCCCCCTGCGTGGGTGCAGCAAATGCTGTACAGGCGAGTCTCATACTCCTGCATCAGACTGTGGCACGCTTCCTCCTTGGCCATGGCCATCTTGGCGTGGGTGTAAAAGTTGGGAAGCCAATAGCTCTGGAGTTTGAACAGAGCTACTTTCTGCATGTGGCTCAGGGTCTCCCTCCTGGTGGTTGACTGGTTAGGATGCCAGATGGAGAGGTTCAGCAGGGACTCTGGAAAAAATACAGAGAGATAAAGGGTGAGAATGATGTGATGATGACAATGATGATGATGTTGGAGAGGTTTGTAAACTTTTCCAAATGTCTTTGTGTATAGCATTTCCTGTCTTTGTGTATAGCAGCTCCTCATACAATCCTGGAGTGTGGACAGGTGAAATATACAGTGGACACATTGTAAGCGTTTTCTCCATACACAGTGACCCCTTTCCACGATTACCTTCCTCCTTTCCCATAGAAATAAGCCATTTTATGTTATTATTTGAGTTACTTTTTACACCATTGAATGCTATTGTAAAGAAGAGCAATAAGCACAAGAAAAAATGAGACACCAATCCGTGTCTGGAGGAAAGGATTTGGACTGGATAATTTGAAGGTGTCCTTACTACCTCTGATTTTAACATAATCAATTCTCAATTACCTATATGAGTAGAGAAGAGTGTGAGTAGTTCCACACAGTGGATTAGGAGTGCCTCCTCATTTAACGAACAAACAAACAGATACAGATCAGTCTTATTCTTGAGAGAAGGGGTTAGCAAACTTTTTATGTAAAGGGTCAAATGGTAAATATTTTGGCTTTGTAAATCATATACAATTTCTGTTGTGTAATCTTCTTCCTCTATTTTTTTAGCCATTTAAAAATGTAAAAAACATTCTTAGCTCATAGCCCACATGTACTGCATTTGACCTGTGGGCTACAGTTTATTCTAGAGAATCCCATTTACAAAAATAAAAGGACAGAGCTATGCAGGTTCAGAAGGTGCAGTTGCTTTTCAATCACTCTGTCTCAATTCCTTTTCCCTCCTTCCAGCCAAACTTCACTGGCAGGTAATATCTCAGGAAGAGGCAAGTAACAGCCTAAGGGCAACTGATCTCTTTCAACCCTCCCCTGGTTAAGAAGGGTTGGGGTTCCCAATGGCATCCCTGAGGGATCGAAGATGGAGAGAGTGGCAGTCTGCAAAGCAAGAGACTGAGGGTTATTAGATGCTGGATTGATTTTTTTGGAATGTCCCCAGGGATTTCACTTCAAATATGCTTTATAATTCTTACTGATGTTCATGTTGCAGAGAGTTACCACCCTGGAACCCTCCTGCAGATGGGTGGCCTTTAGCACGAGCAGGAGGGACAGGTAGTAGTCTCTCACTTCCAGGTCCAGCTCATCTATGCTCAGGATCTTCTCGGCAAGGATCCAGAAATCCACCAACTCTTCACCTACAGAGCAGACAGGGTAGACACAGAGCTGCACCTTAATCTGGCCCCTTTGGTGGTTGCAGCTGGTGAATCAGCCGGCGTCCTCCCCCAGGCTGTTTTACTATATCAGATCTCACCGTTAGTCACTTCTTTGGGTTAAGGCATCATCTCCAGAAAAGTTCTAACGTGGGGGAGGATGGGAGGCATGGGGAGAAAGAACTTAACGCGTACGGATCCTTTGTGACTTTTTGTTACTCTTGTTATATAGACTCTCACTTTAGGGAAAACTGCAAAACTGAGGAAGGATCATGAGACATTTGAATTTTGCCCAGAAAAGTATCTGAGGAAAAAGAACTTTTCCTAGATCATAGACCCAGAGCAGCCTGCAGAAGGACCCTTGAGCCAAAAGATGCCAAAGACTACAATTCCCTTTTTTACAATTTTGCCAGGGCCAAACTCTGAGTGGCAAAATGAAAGATATAGTGTGTCCAGTTCTCCCCTACCTGCTTCCTGGAGACCCAGGATTTCACCCTTAAAACTAGGGCTTGTCCCTAGACGAAACCCAACATTGCTGGGCTAGAGTGTCAGCCAGCGCCGGTGGCCAGCCTCGCAGCACCCAGCAACTACTGGACCCAGTAGAACAGAAAGCGGTGGTTCCAACACTTTTGCTACGGGGATTTATTTACTTGTTCCTCAACCATCTCCCCACCATAGTCACAGCTATATGAAGCAGAAACTTATGGCTCCTGTCATCTTTGTGTCCCAACCCACCAGCACAGTGGCTGCCACACAGTGGTGCTCTGCAGTTATTGTTAGATGAATGAATGAATGAATGAATGAATGAATGAATGAAAGGGACTCTGATTGCTTTTGCCTTAACCTACGCTGTGGACCTCAGTTTTCAAAGATTTTTATCCAGACATTATTAAGCATTAAAATATTCGCCATAGGCACACATAACTGCCAACCGGGGCTCCAGGGCCACTTGGAAACTGTTCAGAACTTGCACAGGCCCCAGGAACAACCCCGGCAACCCACCTGCACTGCCCTTGAGGTAGGAGCAGAAGCGCCACATCCCTCCGACCCCGCCGATGCACTTCTGGAGCAGCCACTCGTCCGCCTTTTTCCACCTCATCATCTTGGCTGCCAGGAGAAGCCACAGTGAGATAGAGAGAACGATCTCTGCCCCGAGCACGCGCTCAGCCTTGGCTGCAGCCAGGCCACCATGCGTGCAGCGTGGGTGAGGACAAACGGGGGCCAGCTCCCTGAGGTGGGTCCCAGCCACGGGGCGCTTTCGAAGCTGGGCACCAGACCATCTCCTGGTATGTGTCCAGTGACACGAGAGGGGCACGCACACAGTCAGCAGCTCAAAACACCTTCCAACCAGAGCCCCATCCATTCTACCGACCCCACGTGACGGTGATTTTGCCTTTAGTGTGCATGTCAGTCCAACTTTATACACATGTGTATATATACACATATACACACACATATTTTGAAGGAGGGTAGTTGAGTATAGCAGGTGATTTGTTACAACATTTTATTCCACAAATGCTCCTGAATCTTAACTTTGGAGTGGGACATGTTAATTTCCTTTGGTTAGTGGGCTAAAAGTTACTAATTGAACCCTAGATGGAAATTTTTTATTCATTCATTCTTTCAATAAATATTTAGTACATGCCTACTAAGTTCCATGTTCCATTCTAGGTGCTGGGGATACACCAGCAAACAGAACAAAAATCCCTGCCCTCAAGGAGCTTATCTTCTTGTGAAGGAGACAGACAATAAACAATAAGCATAATAAATAATTACATCATCTAGTAAGTTTGAAGGTTATAAGCACTATAGAAGAAAGAAAAAGCAGAGCTGGGTGAAGGAAATTGGGAATGCTGGGGGCCAGGATTGGATGAATGGATAGGATATAGTTTTAAATAGGGTCATCAGAGCAGCCTTCATGGACGAGGTGAGATTTGCACAAAGATTTGGGGATGTGAGAGAGGGAGCCACATGCACATTTAGAGGAAGAGCATTCCAGGTAGAGGAAAAAGCCAGTGCAAAGCCTTGACGAGGAAACGTGTCCAGCATGTTTGGGGAACTGCAGGGAGGCCAGCGTGGCTGAAATGGAGTGAGTGGGGCGGGGCCGGGGGAAATGGGGTCCCGGATATGAGCCCAGGTCTCTAGGAAGTTGAAGGTCACTGTAAGACTGTTGGATTTCTCACTGAGATGGGAGCCATCGGTGGTGTAGGGGTGAGGAGGAGCGGGGCAGACAGTGAACAGAGGAGTGACATGGCCTGAATTCCATTTTTTCCCAATATTTTTTGTCATGGTAAAATACACATAACATAAAATGTACCATCTTAGTTATTTTTATGTGTACAGTTCAGTGGCATGAAACACATTAATAATGTTGTTCAACCATCATGACCACCCATCTCCAAAATTCTTTTCATCTGGCAAAACCGAAACTCATTAAACCCATGAAGCAATAACTCCCCACTGTCCTCTCCTCCCAGCCCCAGGCAGCCAACATTCCACTTCCTTTCTCTGTGACTGTTCTAAGTACTTCATATAAATGGAACCCTACAGCGTTTGTCTTTTTGTGACTGGCTTATTTCAGTTAGGATAATGTCCTCAAGTTTCATTCATGTTGTACCATTTGTCACAATTTCCTTTTTAAGGCTGAATAATATTCTATTCTGTGTCTGTACCCATGTTGCTTATCTATTGTGAAGAATGCTGCTGTGAACATGGGTGTTCAGATACCTCTTTGAGACTCTGCTTTCAATTCTTTCGAGCATATACCCAAAAGTTGAATTGCTGGATCATATGGTAATTCTATTTTTAATTTTAAAGAAAACACTCTGGTGATTTCCACAGTGGCTGTCCTGTTCACAGTTCCACCAACAGTGAAAAAGGGTTCCAAGTGCTCCACATCCTCACCAACACTTGTTATTTTATTTTTTGATAGGACACATCTTAATGGATGTGTGGTGGCATCTCATTTTAGTTTTGATTTGCATTTCTCTAATGACTAGCAATGTTGAGTATCTCCTCATATGCTACTGGCCATTCGTATATCTTCTTTGGAGAAATATCTATTCAAGCCCTTTCCCCATTTTTTGAATCATGTTGTTTGTTTTACGTTGTTGAGTTTTAGGAGTTCTCCATATATTCTGAATGTCAATCCTTTATCAGATATATGATTTTAAAATATTTCTTCCACTCCGTGGGTTGTCTTTTTACTTTTTACTATCTTTTGATGCACAAATTTTAAAAATTTTTATGAAGTCCAAATTTTTTTTTTTGTTACTGCTGCCTTTGGTGTCATAGTGAAGATATCACTGCCAAATCCAATGTAGTGAAGATTTTGCTCTATGTTATCTTATGTGTTTTATAGTTTTAGGTCTTATACTTAAGTCTTTGATCTATTTTGAGTAAATTTTTGTATATGGTGTTATCTAAAGGTCCAATTTTATTCTTTGACATGTGAATATGTTTTCTTTTTTTGAGAGAGAGAGTCTCACTGTCACCCCAGCTAGAGTGCAGTGGCGTCATCATAGCTCACAGCAACCTCAAACTCCTGGGCTCAAGCGATCCTCCTGCCTCAGCCCCCTGAGTAGCTGTAACTACAGGCATGTGCCACCATGCCCAGCTAATTTTTCTATTTTTAGTAGTGACAGGTTCTCACTCTTGCTCAGGCTGGTCTCGAACTCCTGACCTCAAGTGATCCTCCTGCCTCAACCTCCCAGAATGCTAGCATTACAGATATGAGCCACTGCACCAAGCCCCCCCTTTCATTTTTATTTTAATAATTTGTAGTCTTTTTAGTAATATTTTCTCTCTTTATTTCTTAGTCTATATAGCTAAAATTTTGTTTATTATGTTAATCTTTTCAAAGAACCAACTTTTGTTTTCATTGATTTTCTCTCTTGTTTACCTATTCTTTATTTCATTGATATTTGTTCCCATTTCTTTCCTTCTGCTAGCTTTGGGTTTAGTTTGTTCTGTTTTTCCTAACTCCTAATGTTATAAAGTTATTTTGTTTATTTGAGATAGTTCTTTTTTTAATGTAAGCATTTGTAGCTATAAAGTTTCCCCTTAGAACTACTTTCACTGTATCCCATAAGTTTTGGTATGTTGTGTTTTCATTTTCATTCATCTCTAAATATTTTTTAATTTCCCTTGTGATTTCTTCTTTGATCTATTTTTCGCAAAAGATTGTGTTCTTTAGTTTCCACAGTTTTGTGAAATTTTCAGTTTTCCTTCTGGTATTTATTTTTAACTGTATTCTATTATGCTAAGAAAAGATACACTGTATGATATATTTTAAAATCTACTGAGATTTAATTTATGGCCTAACATACTGTATGCTGGAAAATGTCCCATGTGTACCTGAGATGAATGTGTATGCTGTTGTTGGTAGGAGAGTGTTCTGTATATATCTTTTAGACATAGTTGGTTTATTGTATTGTTTAAGTCCTCTATTTCCTCACTTATCTTCTTTCTTATCATTCTGTTCATTATTAAGAGTGGAGTATTGAAATCTCCAATTATTATTGTAGAATTGTCTATTTTTCCCTCACTTTTGTAGGGTTTTGCTTTATGTATTTTTTTTTATTCGGGCATATTATGGGGGTACAGATTTTAAGGTTTCAATAAATGCCCATTTCCCCCCCTCTCCCCAAAAGTCTGAGTCTCCAGCATGACCATCCCCAGATGGTGCACATCTCACTCACTATGTATGTATATACCGCCCCCTCCCCCTCCCACCTGCCAATACCCTATTACTGTAGTACCTATGTGTCCACTTAGGTGCTACTCAGTTAATACCAGTTTGCTGGAGAATATATCTGGTGCTTGTTTTTCCATTCTTGGGATACTTCACTTAGTAGTATGGGTTCCAGCTCTAACCAGGAAAATATAAGATATGCTATTCACCGTTGTTCTTTAGAGCTGAATAGTACTCCATGGTATACATATACCACATCTTATTAATCCATTCTTGGATTGATGGGCACTTGGGCTGCTTTATGTATTTTGATGGCCTATCATCAGTTGTGTGAATGCTTATAATTGTTATATCTTCTTGCTGTGTCAGATCTTGCACTAATGTATAATGTTTCTTTTTGTCTCTTATAAACTATTTGAAATTTAAAGACTATTTTGTCTCGTATTATTATAAGCATCCCTGGTCTCTTTTGGTTATTTATTGCATGGACTATTTTTTCTATCCACCTACTTTCAGTTAATTTGGTGGTTTGGATCTAAAGTGAGCCTCTTGTAGACAAGATATAATTGGATCTTGTTTTTAAATTTATTCTGCAGTTGCTATGTTTTGATTGAAAAGTTTTATCCATTTACATTAAAGTAATTACTAATAAGAAGAGATTATGTAATTTTGCTATTTTTTCTATACCCTTATAGGTTTTAGTTTTTCACTACCAGGATCACTGTCTTCTTTGTGTTTAATTTTTTGTAGTAAAACATTTAAATTCCTTTCTCATTTCTTTTGTATAAATTATATAGCTATTTTCTTTGCAGTTACCATGGGATTACATTTAACATTATAAGTTATAACACTCTAAATTGAATTATACCAGCTGAACTTCAATAACACACCAAAAAACCTTTGCTCCTTTAACAGCTCCATCTCTACCCTTTTGGGTGGTGATCTCACAAAATTACATCTTGTATATCGCATGCCCAAAACATAAACTAATAACTTATTAACACATATTAGTCTCTTAAATCATGTGCAAAACAAAACATAATGTGCAGTTACAAACCAAAGTTACAATAATACTAATTTTAGACTAATAATTGTTCTTTTAAAAATGTATTAGTCTCGGCCGGGCGCTGTGGCTCACGCCTGTAATCCTAGCTTCTGGAGGCGAGGCGGGCGGATTGCTCAAGGTCAGGAGTTCAAAACCAGCTGAGCAAGAGCGAGACCCGTCTCTACTATAAATAGAAAGAAATTAATTGGCCAACTGATATATATATAAAAAATTTGCCGGCATGGTGGCGCATGCCTGTAGTCCCAGCTACTCGGAGGCTGAGGCAGAAGGATCACTCGAGCCCAGGAGTTTGAGGTTGCTGTGAGCTAGGCTGACGCCACGGCACTCACTCTAGCCTGGACAACAAAGCGAGACTCTGTCTCAAAAAAAAAAAAAAAAAATGTATTAGTCTCTTAATCATGTAAAAACAAAAAGTACAGCTATGAACTGTTGATACAATCATACTAGCTTATATAATTGCCTATTTCTTTACTTTTATTGAGTTATTTACTTCTTCATATTGCTTTATTTATTATATTATATTTTATTTTATTTTTGAGACAGAGTCTCACTGTGTTCCCCAGGCTAGAGTGCCATGGCATCAGCCTAGCTCACAGCAACCTCAAAGCCCTGGGCTCAAGCAATCCTCACTGACCTCCTGAGTAGCTGGGACTACAGGCATGCACCACCATGCCCAGCTAATTTTTTCTATATATATTAGTTGGCCAATTAATTTCTTTCTATTTGTAGTAGAGATGGGGTCTCGCTCTTGCTCAGGCTGGTTTCGAACTCCTGACCTCGAGCAATCCACCCACCTCGGCCTCCCAGAGTGCTAGGATTGCAGGCGTGAGCCACCACGCCCAGCCTCTTCATGTTGCTTTAAGTTACTGTCCAGTGTTCCTTTCATTTCACACTGCAGGTCTCTCTGAAGCATTTGCTGTAGGGCAACTCCCTTGGCTTTTGTTTATCTGGAAATATCTTAATTTTGCACTTACTTTAGAAAGTCAGTTTTGCTGAATATAGGATTCTTGGTTGATTTTTTTTTGTCTTTTAGGACTTTGAATATATCAGCATACTATCTCCTGGACTCCAAGGTTTCTGATGAGAAATCTGCTTATAATCTTATAAGAATCCCTTGTAAAGTGGTGAGTTGCTTCTATCTTACTGTGTTTAACATTCTTTCTCTGTCTTTGGTTTCAAGAGTTTGACTATAATGTGTCTTGGTGTGGATCTCTTTGAGTTCTTCTTGCTTGGAGTTCATTGAACTTCTTTGATGTTTATATTTATGTCTTTCATCAAATTTGGGAAATTTTCAGGCATTATTGCTTCAGATATTCTCTTTGTCCCTTTCTCTCTCTTCTCTCCTTCTGGCATTTCCATAATGTGCATGCCGGTGTGGTTGATGGTGTTTCATAGGTCCCTTTTTGCTCTGTTCACTTTTCTTCTATCTTTTTTCTTTCTGTTCCTCAGATTTTATAATTTCCACTACCCTATCTTTGGGTTCACCAATTCTTTCTTCTGCCTTTTCTAATCTGCCTATGAATCCTTCTAGTAAATTTTTTCATTTCAGTGATTGTACTTTTCATGTCTGAAATTTCTTTTGGGGATTTTTTTTTAGATTTTCTCTTTATTGATATTTCTATTTATTTCATATATCACTTTCTAGACTTTCTTCATCTTTCTTTAGTTCTTTGATCATCTTTAAGGCAGTTGTTTTAAAGTCTTTGTCTAGCAGATCTGCTATCAGATCTTTCTCAGGGACAGTTTCTTTCAATTTTTTTCTCCCTTTAAATGAGCCATACTTTCCCGTTTCTTTGTGTGTTTTGTGATTTTCTTGTTAAGAACTAGACATTTGAATCTAATGATGTGATAACTCTGGAAATCATATCTTTCTCTTTCCCCAGAGTTTGATATGTTTTGTTATTTTTGTTAGTTTTTTTTTTTTAATATTGTAGGCTGTCTCTGTGCCAAAGATTGGTCTGAGGTATAAACTTAGGTCTTCTCAGGTCTTTTCGGAGCCTCAACCTTTCCCTAGGCATAGGTGGTCACTTTCTTATTTTCCCCATATATGCAGTTGATGTTGAATGCCCTAGTCCTTTATGTCTGCCTCCCAAAATAAAAAAAGAGAAAAATGAAGAGGAAGAAGATGTCATCTCTATAAATTCCCTAGTAATTACTTCAGCCAGATGGGGAGGGCTTGCAACAATGCAGAGGTACAACAACAATGGCCGCCCATCTCTTTATACCTCTGTGATCAGAAGCACAACCCCAAATCACAGCACAGATCCTCAATATTTGGAAGGCAAGGTCCCTTTTGGCCACCCTGGCTCCTGTAAGCTGTTCTAGGAACACGTGCACAGCTACCTCCCATGGGACTAGAGTTGGGGGTAGGTAGTTGCCATTGTGCAAAGAGCTGAAATTGAATGAGATTAACTGCAATTTGCTGTCTAAGACTTCTTCTGGAAGTTGCAAACTTCAATAGATTCCATAGTTCCAAAATAGTTACATCATACAGATTCTGCCAGCACAATTGGTGAAAAATAATGGTGGTTTAAGCAAGATCATAGTAATGAAGATAGTGATATTTGTTTGATTCGGATACACTTTAGGCAATTTTAGCTTGTTCTGTGGCTACTATTAACTCTCATTTCTGGCTACAGGGAGATAAATATCTCAGCCCATATGATTTTTGCATATTGCCTTAGGTACCAATTTTTCAGGCTAAGATTTCACCTATGGCCATAACATGGGTTAGGCTACCTGCATATCTACAAATGTAGCCAGTATTTTCACCTTACTATGGGACCAACAGTCAAAACATCATTATGCATTGTGGCTTCCTATATTTCTACACACACATACACACACACCCACACACACGCACACACGCACACACGTGCGCGTGCACTACCCAATGCTTACCTCCTTCTGGGGACTTAATGAAACTGATAAGCTCCTGACAGAGAATATAATGGAAACACAAGTTTGTTTTACAGAAGAAAGGTAACCGGTATTTTTCCAACCACGTCAATAATCCTTTGTACTTGGCAACCTAGAGTCAAAACAAAATAAAAACAGAGAAGATAAATGGAACTGAACTGCTAAGAAATACCTTAGTAAGGGGCAATAAATCATTTCCCATTTCAGTATTGGCCAGAAGGAGAGGTGTGTGGTTTAAAAATATCTAAGAGGAGCAGAGATACCTTCTCAGGCTCCCAAAGAAAGCTTTTTATTAGGAAATAAAAAGCTTGATCTTCCATCAAAAATTCTTCCTTATTCCTGGGTGAAGTCATTAAAGAAAAAAATGTAAGCCTTGCTTGAGAGAAAAGAAGCAGAAGAGATTTGGGCCTGTGGTGTCAGGTCATAACATTCTTCAAGTTGCTTCTTTGTCCACCCTCTCATAATTTCCTGCAAGCCCCTAACCCATATCAATTGCATGCCATGTACAAAAACACACAAAGATTCACCTGATTTAGAATACCACCTAGGTGGATCCTGAGGGATCAAGCCACCAGAGAAGGGAGAAAAAAATTAAACATTTTTAAGTTCCAGGATTATCCTAGAGAGATCACATATAAGAGTCAGAATAAGGCATGTCTTCTCAGCTCTGCAGAACACAAACTCTGCTGTGTGGACGTAGTGACCTTTCCGATCCCATATGACACTAACAGGACATGGGGAAGCCATTGGTAGGTCTAAGGTCTACACAGTGGAAAAAGAGAACAGGAAGCAGAAAAAAGGAGAGGACAAAGACAATAGATAAGAAAAAGGGGGGAAAGGCATAAAAAAGGAAAAGACTGGGAGAAAACCATGCCTCTGGAGGAGAATGGTCCAGCAGTCATTAGAAACTGCAGGGGGCGTCTTACCTTGATCTACATCTGATGATGCATATCTGGTAATAACTATGTGGTCCCTGGGCTGCCACTTCCTATCCTACGCCATGGCAGACATTGCCAATCGATTCCCAGACTCTTTCTTGCTTAGATGTACCCTCAAGGTTCTTCTCAGGACAGCACCCCAAGCAACTACTAGCCAACAGTCACAGCGGATGTGAGAGATGAATCCCATTTGCTAACTACATGGACCGGAATACAAAGGAAAGAATTCCCCAGCAATTGCTTGCCCGATAGGCAAAAACATAAAAAAGAAAGAAAGAAAAGAAATGTCTAACTGGCTTGATGCCAGTTGTTCGGAGTTTCTTCCATAGTCACTTTCTGGACTTCCTCTCCTTCTCCTCCCAATTCACATTTCAAATACAGCTCCCTCTGCCTCCACCCCAAACCCTCACCACTCAAGAACTTTACTCACCAAGTTATAAGGCAATTCTGGCCACAAGCTCCATTGTGAATTTTCAACAGTGTAAAATGGTGTTTGACCAAAAACCTGCAAAAGAAAGCTAGGAAACAGCCAAGGGGGTAGGGTTTCTCTTCATGCATATGGCACAGTCCATTGCAGCCACAGGAAAAGAGAGGTTCCACTGCTTTCCTATTTCAAGGGACATTAATTCTTAAATTTATTCTACTGTATCAACTTTCCCTGCACAAAAACACCCTAAATAGGCTGAATTGCAAAATTTGTTTATCTTTTGGCTCCACCCTGCCCTGATCTGGGAGCTACCTCACTTGTGTGCAAAGGCCAAGGCCCAGGATAATGGAACACACTTAGTTGGTGTATTCATTATTCACATTCTCCATGGACTTAGAGAGTGGAAGCAAAGGTGTAAAACCTTTTCCTAGTGAGAAATAGCTTTGGATGTACCTAACCTCTTGAACTGAAGAAAATAGGACTGAAGATGTGAGGATTAGGGGTACAAATTACATATGGAGGCATTAAGAGAGTCTAAAATTAATAGGTAATTCTAGGCCGGGCACCACGCCTATAATCCTAGCACTCTGGGAGGCCAAGGTGGGAGGCTCGCTTGAGGTCAGGAGTGTGAGACCAGCCTGAGCAAGAGCGAGACCCCGTCTCTACTAAAAATAGAAAGAAATTAGCTGGACAACTAAAATACATATAGAAAAAAAATTAGCTGGGCATAGTGGTGCATGCCTGCAGTCCCAGCTACTCGGGAGGCTGAGGCAGTAGGATCGCTTGAGCCCAGGAGATTGAGGTTGCCGTGAGCTAGGCCAACGCCATGGCACTCTAGCCGGGCAACAGAGTGAGACTCTGTCTCAAAAATAAATAAATAAATAAATAATAGGTAATTCTAGGCTACTGTACTCTTTTGTTGAAAAAGGACTGTCACCAAGGCAACCAGCTTTGCAGCTGATGGGAAAGGGCTTCTCTGTTTATAGGTATCTAAGCTTAAGCAGTCTCACCCCAGGCACCAAAATGTCTTCAAAGTGTCCCAGAAGTGGCTGGCGGAAAACCAGAGTGTCTGAAGCTCCAACTCCTAGCTGAGCTCTCAGCACATCGTGTCAGTCTGACCCTCTCCCCGCCTCAGGACTAGCAGCCCCAAACTTCGGTCATTCTGTGCCCCTGTGAGGTGCCAAAGGAAGGTGATGGTGCTGCCCTCGTTTTATAAACACCAGTCTCTAAAGGAGATTCAGCCCACAGGGATCCCGCTCTGTAAACTGACTGGAGTGCTCAACAGGAAATGCTGCTCGCTCTCTCTCTCCCCCTCCCCTCTGTCTGTCTGTCTGTCTCTCTCTCTCTCTCTCCCCCCCCCCCCCCCCCCTCGTTGTCTGCTCCTTCCTCCCCCCCCCCCCCCCCGTCTGTCTCTCTTGATAGACCACAGCTGCCTAAATGACCAATACTTCCTGATACTCTTGGCTGGAATCCCCCTTCCCACATCGCTCTCTGTTTCTAGAACATTACTGTGAGCTGTTTAAATTGTGTTGGTGGACTGGCTTTGGAAGCCTCCATCAAGGCGGTGGAAAGGCGATGGTCAGAGGGAGGAGCACGCGGGAGGCCCCCACGCTCGGAGAGGCCCCTTCCTCCCTCCTGCGTTAGTCCTGTTGGCTGGCGCCACCTTCCACCCAAGCGCCCAGGCCTGCTGCCCTTGGTTCTTTCCTGTCACCACCCCTCCTCCCATCCAAACAGCGACACAGTCCTATATTTTGTTTTGTTGACAATCTCTCCTATGTGCCCCATCTTCTTTCTCCTTTTCCCTTTTGACCCTCATCGCTTCCCACCTAGGCTACTGAAATCACGTCCTACCTGTTTTCCCTTCTTCCATCAAGGTCAACTGCCACCCAACCCATTGGCCAGAACTCTACAGAATAATTTCCTTAAATGAAAGCCTGATCATGTTGCTCCTTTACTGAGAACACTTCAATGACTCTCTGTCACCTCCAGAGTGACATCCAAACTCCTGAGCATGGGCTGCCTGACCTCTGGGCCTTGGCTCAGCTCACCCGCGCAGCTTATCTCCTACTTGGTCTTAGTTTTGCAATGTTTTCCACAGCCTTACTGGCTACCTACAGATTCCCCCAAAGTGTCATAGGTGTCCTTGGTGTATTTTCTTTCTTCATTCGGTCTGTCTGTCAGGCTTTTTGCCTCTCTTGCTATTCATTTCCTAGTCTTTTCCTCCTACTTCTTTAGCTACCCTCTTCTCCTCACCTTCTTCCCCCAGTTAATTGCTAAATACCTACTTCTCTTTCAAGACTTGGCTTGTGTAAGCCTTTCCTGGCTCTTCCAGGTAGGGGTGGCCTCTCTCTACTGTGTACTGTATCTCTACTGCCTCCTAGAAAGTTCTGTCATGTCACTCATACCTTGAACCCCAGTCTCTCACATTCAGCTGGGAATTCCTTAGGGACAAAAATGATGTCATTACTATGTGTGTCTCCAATAGGAAGCCCAGAGCCTGGCACATAATAACCACCCACTAACTATTCATGGGATAATGTAGAGTGTCTTTTTCCCACTTATCTGAAATTTCTTCTGTTCATAGGTGACATCCCATGGAAGTGTGCATTGAGATGAGCCACAATTTATAAGCTCCTGCATTAAAATGTCACCAAAGATTTAAACCAAAAATGATTCAGAATAAGTCTAGGTTTAGATAGTGGTTTAAGACTTCAATATTTTGATGTTTGAGAGTTTTTAACTTGCGTAGATTGAGGAAATACATAGTTTTTGTTCCAGTCTACAACTCAACAATTGCTAAGTGCTAAACTACCCGGTAAAAGGAGTAGATTAGAATAAACAATCCTCAGTCCTAGCCCTGCAGGAATTCGTAATATCAAAATCACACACACACACACACACACACACACACACATGCACACATGCACACATGCACGTAACACCAGAGAGTTGCAAAGTGCCATGGGGCACAGAGGCCGGGAGAAATCCAATCAGGAGGTTCCAGTTGTGAGGCCCTAAGAATTCCTTATGAAGAATAGAATTTAAGCAGAGATTTGAGGAATGGTTAAGACTTTGGTAGGTGGAACTATGAGACAGGCATTCCAGGTAGAAAAAAAAAAATAGCCCAAGGAGAGGTTCAGAGCTGGGGGAATACCAGGTGTACCCAGTGAGGATAGAGCTACCGTCACTAGAGCACTAGGGAGGCGTCAGCAGAGGGTGTGATGAGAAATAACTTCGAATGGGCAAAGGCAACTAAGGAGGCTGGGATTTAGGGCTTGATGACACCAACAACGGGAATCTCCTGGAGATTTATAGGTGGTTCTGGTTCATATTTATTTGCTCCAATTGAAAGTTTTTGATTTGAATAGAAATTTAGTAAGAAAACAAAATAACAACAACAACAACAAAAAAAGGCAGTCAGTTCAGTGGGATTCTCTATTCAGCTGTTAATAAAATATTTGGATTTAAGTCTTAGAATGCTTACCGGAAGCGAAAGAAATGTGTTGAAAAAATCGGCAAAGATTTCATCCTCTAGCAGAATTATAAGATTAGTAGAACCAATTATCTCTATGTGGAGAGAAAAAAGAAACATGAGCCAGGATTGCATTCGGGCTGAGAAGACGAAGCCACTGAACAGGCCATTTCACATAGCCTGAGCTCAGCATTGCAGCGGCCTGTAAGACAGTGGTCCCCAACCTCTTGGCACCAGGGATCGTTTTCATGGGAGACAGTTTCTCCACAGACTGGGGAGTGGAGGGACGGTTTCGGGACACAGTTACTTTTCAGACAGCAAAGACAGAAATTTACATTTATTCCAGTCAAGCTTCAACTTGTTAGTTTGGGCCCAACTGACAAGAGCTTTCTTAAATGTTGATTTAGTCATACAACATATTTATTTCTTCCCTCAGGTCTGATCATTGTGCTGCCCGAGTTAATCCAAGGAAATCAATGTTGAATGTCATAAAGCAAGCCTAGAGACCCAGGTGAACTAGGGGACTCCTTTATATTTACACTGTGCTCTTTTGAGCACAATATTCAACTGGTGAATAATAAGTGAGTTGTTTTATCAATGGCCCAACATTTCTCCATCATATCCGAGGTTCACGATGAAAGACTGTAAAATTGGGTCTAAATATTATACCCGAGGCCTGCCTCTCTGTCTAGTCAAGCAACTGATAATGACGGTAAGTGCCACTCACTGTCACTACAGTGCAGTTATAACCTAAAAAAAGAAACTAAACAATCGCCTCCATCATTTTTTCTGATGACACCAGGTGATTATTGGCTTCATATACGAGAAATAGAAAAGGAAGCACAGACAATCAAACACTGTTGTGAGTAACAGAGCTTGTGTTGTTGCTTGCCCTCTGTGACACTGGACAGCAAGAGAACGTTCTTGTCAGGCTGTAATGGCAGAACCTACCACAATGGTAGAATTCATCACTACCTCCTTGCACCATCATGTCCCTCTTCCACTATTATAATTAACAAGTCAAATTGCTAAACAAGAAAAAAAAAAGATACCTGCACTTGAATGTTTGTAGCAGAACAATTCACAATTGCTAAGATGTGGAATCAACCCAAGTGCCCATCAATACATGAGTGGAGTAATAAAATGTGGTATATGTACACCATGGACTACTACTCAGCCATAAAAATGAATGCCTTTTGTGGCAATTTGGATGGAACTGGAGACCAGTATCCTAAGTGAAGTATCTAAAGAATGGAGGAACAAACACCACATGTACTCTCTACTAAGTTGGAACTAACCGATGAGCACACATGTGCACAGAGGGAAGTCAAACTCGGTGTAAATTAACCAGTGGGGAGGGGGAGGAGAAGATCCTTGAAAACCTACCTAATGGGCACAATGAACAATATCTGAGTGACTGGCACTCTTATAACCATGACTCAAACTTTATAAAAGGTATTCATGTAACCAAAGTTATTTGTACTCCATAAATAATACTTTGAAATTTAAAAATAGTCAAATTGCTTTCATCCATTGATATATCTGTCTTCCTCACCAGACTGAGCTTTGTGAGAGTAGGGACTTTGTTTTTTTCATCTTTCTTCCCCTAGGCTCTAAAAGTGTTTGCACAATGTCTAAGTTCTATAAATGTTGAATGAATTATTCTTTCAAGAGATGATCTTTTGGGCTTCAATCTTTTGGGCTTTTGTTGGATTGGTTGTCATTCGTAGAGTCTAACATGGATTTGTTGAATAAGTACATCACTGCGTCCATCTGACTACAAAACAGTGGGACTTGGGAGGCATTTCCCAAGTGAGTGTTTTCCATAGCTACACACACTGCTGGTGACAAGGGGCTTGACGGCGACAGGGCTTGTGGTTGACAAGACAGTCTTGAGGAGGTGTAGGGACAAGGGTCTACACGTGCTTCCCTTCCCCATCCTACTTCTCCCTTCCTATTTTTCCACTCTTACCTGTTCTACCATCAGACTTCCTAATAATCTGGGAAGACTTTCAGCACTCACTCCACACCATAATAATATTGACTTGGCAACAAGAGAAGTCACTGGATAATCCCAAATGACACACCAGCCTTCTCCCTGGAGGAGGTAAGGCTCATGATGGGCCCATCTACACTGTACTTCCTCCCTCTTGCCTTAATTGTCTTATGAATAAAGTCCTGTCCTATCCTTAAAGATCTGGTGGCAGAAGGTAAGAGGAAGGGGAAGAAGGAGACACAGATGGAAAGCGAAGGGCACAAATAATAGGAAAGTCCCATGTTGTCTCCCTGAATGACTCAGACCTATTCACGATTGGGAAGTGAGCGGTTTGCCTTATTTGAGGGACTCAAAGCCTTGAAGACATCTCTCCCAGACTCACCAGCGTTGCTCATGTTGCCATGCTCTTCCTGACACAGGGATTGGTTAGGAGCAGAATTAGCCCCGGTCAACAGAACCCTGCTCCCTGTGGACACATAATGACACTGCCTCTAAGGGGTTCTAGATTCTTTCGGGCAATGGCCTCCTTATTTTTAGTGTAGATCTTAATCTGAAGCTGAGTCTTCATCTGATCTACTGGATGACTCATCGCATTATAATAACACGTTTAGCTGGTGAGTATATGTGGTGCGCTTGTTTTTCATTCTTGGGATACTTCACTTAGTAGTGTGGGTTCCAGCTCTAACCAGGAAAATATAAGATGTGCTATATCACTTGTTTCTAGAGCTGAATAGTACTCCATGGTTACATATACTACATTTTATTAATCCATTCTTGGATTGATGGGCACTTGGGCTGTTTCCACAACCTTGCAATTAGAATTGTGCTGCTATAAACATCGAGTGGCAGGTGTCTTTTTGTAGAGTGTCATTGGATCTTTTGGGTAGATGCCCAGCAATGGGATTGCTCGATGAAATGGTAGATTCACTTGAAGGACCAATTCAGGAGGGATGGGGAGGAGAGCAGGAAAGACACACAAGCAAGTACTGTCCAGGCATCCAGTAGATGTCATGTAGGTCTCTTTTCTGTTACTTAGATGTGTGGACATGAATAAGCACAGAATTCAATTGATATAGAAATATGTGTGAATGGATTGCTTTTGTTACTGCTCGAGTCAAAGTTATAATATTCTGAAATAATAATAAAAAAGTAAATAGCTGCTCTTAAAAAATGTATATCTCAAAAAAACTCTCGGTCACTCTGTCTCTGACCAT